CTCAGAGAACACAACCACATCAGAACTCCATTATGTTAAGCTGTACAAATGGCAAAGGTAAACGTAATCTATAGCGTGGCACCAACTGACTTTCTTGCTTTCTTCAAGTTTATCAAGGGAAATATTTGTATGAAATTATCGAGAGTTGCTCAAGATTGTAAAGTGTATACTGTTATAACTAGATCCAGCCACTGACTGGTCGACTGAGGTCTAACATAGAACTTCTCACAGAAGTGCAGCAGTTCAAGTTTGCCTTACTCCATGTAACAAACAGAGGTAAACAGAAATAAGAGAAAAAGGGATCCAAAGGGAGTATAACAAACAGAAATGTGATAGGAAGAAAAGCAAAGGGAATCCTGGAGATCGAAAAGCGTAAATGCACCTGCGCTACTGTGAACGACTTTCAGCCATATGGGCAATAGTCTTCAGCCATTGGTTCTTAGTCTACGAGGTGCCTAATCAGTTAGTCTACACCTACCTATATGGCTCAAACCAACAGTCAAGGACTTCATAGATTGATGCTAGGATTTGCTTTGACCACCCTTAACACTTTTTCAACCGATTCCACTGTCGAAAAAACTGCTCGTTAAGAAAGGCGATGTAAACATATGTCACTAGAACTCACAAAAATGTCTTTCCCTCATGAAGATAGATAATTCTTACTTTTTAGAAAGTTTGAATTTGTTTTTCATGTCTGAAAGATGAGGAGAATGTAACATAAAATAATCGACTCTTACATTACTTATAAGTGTTGGATGGTTCACGGCGATAAAATGCAAGCCTTGAACCTACGTTTTGTGCTTACTGGAAATCATCAGCGAGGAATAATTAGATTCCCTAGCAAACTTAATCTCCTCAGAAATTCGAATTTACACTACCTAATACTACAACTAGATATTACGTTATTTATCTATTCAGGCTTCGAGTGCCATCCTGTATAACTGTGTTGGATTCAGTCATTGATAACTGAAGTGTAACTAATGTCACGTTGTCTAGTAATTATCACTGACCTAAATACCATTGGTCGACCCCCATCCTTAATGACTCAGCAACAAAGGATGAAGCGATTTCGATAAGTGTGTTAGGGTTATGATGCAGCTGTTTTAGAAAAGTTAACCAAGACTAGATATCACGGTCAAATGAACGACCGGACAGTAAAAATTATAATTTATTGCTATCAATAAAGGATCAATTTTTCCTGATAAAATGTGAAAAATGAGTATCGCATGTCAAAATACAACTGAATGTTAAGATAGTCCCTCGAGTCCATACTGTGAAGGCCAAAAGACGTGACTGTAAGCGAAGATAAAGCGACATCCTTTGTGAGATGAAGTTCATCAACTAGGAGAAACGTTATCTTCGTTAAAGTGAGAGTCCTTTTTGTGTCTTTAATTAGTGAGCATAGACTATCGGTCAAAACACTAATTATCCTTTATAAAACAGCGCAGGTAAACAACCACAGACACCAATTTCATAGCAAAAAGCCATGCAAATGTTTAACAGAGGGAGCAGTAATAATTTCCTAATTCCCATTTGTGCATTTAGAAAAACAAAACAACAGATTGAGCGGAGAAATTTATTTCTTTTCAATTAGTTCCTCATCATCGGCTGGCTCTACACTCGTATACAGTATTTCTAACATCAAAATTAACTACCAATCAAGTGGTTATTTTAGTTAATCAGTATCATGTGTAGAAGAGGGTGAAATTAAGAGGTTGAAAGTCATCAAAACTAATAACTAATAGATGTTAGCAACAAGATATCTAAGTCTGAGAGAATAGGTGAAAATTGATTACGGAAATCAAGATAAGTTGATTCTTAAGCGTTGGCGATAACTTGTTACATAACCACGAAATATGTAAAGTAATGATGACTAAGAAGAATTACGTAAAATACAAAAAGTTAATAGAACTAGCTAGAATTGTAGGAATGGTAAAAATTAACAAAGTCAGAAGATAGTCACAAACCGAGGGGAAAGGTCGTTTTTAAAAACTGATTACGCATTATGTAGTTGGCCATATCAAAGAAAACGACTGTACAAATTTCTTTCGAACCCACAGATATGGCTTGTTCAGATGGCACGGTGACACTCAGGTTATACGGCTTATCGAAGATTCATAAACACAGCCTGCCACTTAGACCAGTCCTCAATATGTTGTGCTCAGCATATCATTCAACTGCGAAAAGGCTGGTGGAACTTTCATAGGCGTTACATAAAATACTTGTGAAAAATAACGTTAAAGATAGTTTCTAGTTTGTAGAAATAATCAAGGAATTAAATGTGAAGGATAAATATATGACACCACTGGATGTATCTTTCTGATTCACTAATGTGCCATTGATGGAAACAATCGATTACATAGGTAATGAATCGATAAAGCGAGGTATAGACATCGGAATTCCTGTGTCTCCACTAGAGGAACTTCTTCTAAGGTGTACAATGAATGTTAACTTCTCGTTCAATAAAGAAACGTACAGGGAGTCAGATCATTTTACCATGGAATCACCACAGGCCTAATCCTAGCAGATTTTTTCCTGGAGAAACTAGAGAATGGTCTTTTTAAAGATGTAATACATAAACTTGATTTCGATTGTCGATATGTCGAGGATACATTTATAGTTGTTAAGAAAGAAAGTGAAAGCAAGGACATATTGGATAAATTCATTATAGCGAATTGTAGCATGAGCTTCACTAAACAAGAAGAAGAAAACGACTGTCCTCTTTCTGGACGTCCTAATGGCTAACCGAACAGATGGAACAATATGTAGGCGTTTGTATAGAAAACCTACTTCCACTGGACAATATACTCGCTTCCTGAGCTTCGTACCTCTACAATACACGCGTAATCTGGTGGGATGCCTGGTTCACCGGGATAGAGTTATCTGCTCAAATGAGACACCGGACAAAGAACTCAGTAATATTCGCCATCTACTAAGTAGAAACGGATATCCAAATAAATTCGTAAACAAACACATGAACTCAGAAAGTAAATTGTCGAAGGTATCGACTGTTCCTGAAAAATCAGTCTACCTGAGATTACAGTTCACGGGTGATGGTAATAGCGAGATATTTCACCACGTTTTCTAAAGGCCTAGAAAAAGACTTTTGACGTAGCTAAGCTATTCTGTATATTCACTAACCAAGCAATACTTAGTTCAAGAAATAAACACAAACTACCCTGTTTCGCCTATTCCAAGTACATTTACCAGTTTACCTGCGTGTGCGGAGCTGGTTACATAGGGCGTGCGATCAGGCAAGTTCATCGTCAAATTTCTGAAACCTCCTAACTTGGCTTGGCAAAGGTCCGAATAAAGCTATACGCAGCCCAATACCAGATCATGTCGTCGATACTGGATATCACGTCAAGCCTAACAAAGCTTTTAGTTTTAATGTTTTTACGTAAGTATGATTAGATAAACACTCGATAGATAAGGAAAAATATAATGATCAGAATGAAACGACGAAGTTGTGTCTTTCGTATTATTCACTGGATGACGCTTGGAACACTGTTTATTGTTCGTATTCGTGCAAACTGTAAGTAAAAGACTTCGAAAATCGATTCCCGCGGTTCTCGTTCTTCTTCCACACATGTCACAAAGGTAGTAGAATTATATACATGTATCACTGTTTCCTTTTGTAAATATACTGTCGCTGATACGGATATATACTTTCCGACTCAAGTCGTTTGTGTCCTCACCCAAGTGAAGCAGGTAGGGTAATCAGCTGGCTGTCATATAATGTTGTTGGCGTTAGACTAGCGATATTCGTGATTACTGCATTTGTGTCCAGCTGGATGCGCCTATTCCAACTCTACATACTACAGGAATAAAAGTGGCGACATTCATAACATCGTAGCGGTAAGTTATGCTGGAACTAGGAGTATTACGGTCAAAATAGCTGCTCTCATCTTATTTCGTTATGGAGGTAACAACAAGGCACGCGTTTCACCTTCCTACTGTAGTGTGTATTACTTTTAAGAAAACGTCTTAGTAAAATTTAGTGCGTTGTCGTTAGTAGGTGTTACATGAGTAGAAAGCCTGCTGTTGCATTGGTTATCAGTATTGAAAATACGAACAGGAAGCATCGGTGACCAAATAAGAAAGTTCACGAGAGAAGAAAAAACATCTCCAACACACACAAAACATTGTAAATCCGAAGTAGGAATATTGTATCAGTAACACTGTTAACAAGAAATCTTCCAAATTTACCTGTATCTCTTGTTATCTTGACTACTACCCAGGCATAATTTCGTTACCCCGAAAACCCACCACTTGAAAGTATGTAACTAATATGGTCCATTTAATAAAAGTGTTACAATGCCTAACCTTCTATACTTCACTAAATCTTGCAACATCTTCAAGTTTATTTCTTCCACTGAAAATTATAAAATGATCCTGTCGAGGTTGTCTTTGAGAATGTCTAATCTCGTATTAGGCTGAGTTGTTTCCTTCATCACTCTAAATGCCTGAAAAGTTCTAGCGGTTCTAAGTGGTTAATTACAGATATGACCTCAACTGAAATGCGGAAAATTCAGTCAGCACTCACCTTGAATTTTTAGTGTAACAAGAAAAGTGAATCAACAAGCTATTTTTTCACATGCTAGTCTCAACAAAGAAGCCTATTCAACTGATAATAATGTTCAGCACAATATTGTGCTAAACATTTACACTACCTGCATTTCCAGTCAACCACAGGAATCAGAACAGAACAAACACTCATGAGATTTCATGGATAGTTTAATTTTCAGAAATTTTTGTACTAAAAATGACTTGAAGTTTTGGTGAACTATTGTAGGTGATTCGCTACCTCTTCAGCATTCTAACACATGAATAATCAGGTTGAACGAGCGAATTCAGTTATTGAAACATTCAAGAAGTGGTCTACTTCATCACATCTACATCCAAACAACAGAGTCAAACATGCCACTTACAAATTAAGGCACTCTAGGTGAAAGTATTCAGATTACAATAAGCGACCTGCTTATCATCAAGAATGGTAATTGATATGTAGTCACATGATGTGTGTGTTTGTTTTTGACAGTCTGTTATATTTTGCTATGTGTATATGGATCGATATTCCATTATAACTGACAATATGCTTTTGTTTATCCACTAACTTAATAAGCATGTATGACCTGGTTATCATATTACACGGTAAGATGACTGTCTATTGGTTCATGTGTATTAGCCATTTTCATATATAATTTGCATTGTACACTTTATATACATTTTTCTTCTTTTCACGTTCGTACATTCGTAGCATTTCACTCACACTCTTGTGTGACATTTACTTTCCTTGTCTGGAAAATACAAGTATCATCGTAAACCTTTTTCAATTTGTGTCCTACGGGCTTTATTCTACACGATCTTTAGGAGTGCGCTTATCCACAAAAAATGTTCCGTTATGTTGTGTCTTTTATTCATAGTGAGTAACCCAGTCATAACCACAGGATGCACCATTCCAGTTTTAGTGATAACTACTAAGTAAGGTGTTTTATTCAAATTCCGTCCTAGAAAAGAGAAATTTGTTTCACTGGAGTTAATGAGATTCAAATTTAACACAAATAAACACTGGGGTATTTGGAGTTGAATATTTATAATAATACATAACAAAATGATTGAAGAAATTAGTGAATAATATTTTTAAAGTAAGCGAAAATATTGTTTTGTTTTTGCATATCAATAATGCACTCATTTGAAGTGGTTAGAAAATGAAGTAATAATAGTTGTCTTCCTTAAAAGTAGCTTCGATGAAAATAAAATTTTATTTTCAAATCTTTCATACTTTCGGATAGACTAAATGAAAAATATTTTCAGTCATTCACTCTGTATTCGATGTGTTTCTAACTCCTTCATAATGCGTAGAACAACTTCTTCTTTCCAAGGTTTACCTACAATTTGCACACCGATTGGTAGTCCTTCACTTAACTCTTGATGTTTGAATACCTCAGAGTGAAAACGGTCTCCAGATCTCTTATAGTTTTCGGCCAGTGTTTTTGATTCCTCCACGTCATCTCTATTTACATGACCCATTGAAACTGTTCCAGCAGGATAATCCAACGTGTTATACAAAATTGTATAGGCAATGGCAGGTGTAACGAATAGGGATTTAGCTGACTTAGGGAAGGCTGGAAATGGAAACACTGGACAGATGATTGCATCAAGATCACCAGCTTCTTCCATAGCTCGCTGAAACTCACGTCGATACTCCTCAATATCTGAAATCAAATTTAGTACCTCCTTCTCTCCTCTAGCTCCATCTAAGTATTTAGTAACTGCTGCTGGTTTACCAATAGCAAGTTTCATGAGGTTATCTGACAAAACCTTTAAACAATGCGGGGCACGAGTGGCTAAACTAAGCAATTTGGTGTGCTCATTCAATGGTTCAGCAAACAATACACTTTGGAAATGATATTTACCATCAATAGCCATCGCTTTCATACCCAATTCATTTGCCCAATTTGGTTTCGGTACATTGAAAGGCACTACTTGGTGACCATTTCGCTTCAAAACACTGACTGATTCACGTATTGCTCTACGAATACTTGGGACGGTAGCAATAAGAGATGGATCATCTAGAGTTTCATAATAACCTATACACAAATTTATTTTGTCTCTGCCCTCATAGATTATTTCATTAAAAACCAAAGGTGGTACTGAAGGATCCAGCTCGAACATTTTAGGTGTAAGAAGTGTGCGCATAAGTTTCGCTAAATCATCCACTCGCTTCCCCATTGGACCCGCAGACACTCGTAGAGAGACAGACTTCTTATAACCTAACGTGGCTAGACCTTGATTGCTCAAACGACCGGAGGTTGGTTTCAACCCTGCAAGACCACAAAATACCGAAGGAATCCTGACACTTCCACCTAAATCCGTTCCAATTCCTACCGGTGAACCCTTTAATGCCAAAAGTACTCCTTCACCACTTGAACTGCCACCTGTTTCATGATTTGAAGAGTAAGGGTTGGACAAATCACCGAATACAGGATTTATTCCGCTGAGTGATAAGGCTGTTTGAGAAGTGGCTGTCAGAACAAATGGTATAGCTCCTTCATGTTTAAGTACTTTCAAAATACAACAATCTTCATCTGAAGGTTGATTACACCGTTTGATTAAACCAAATGTCGTATCGTACCCCTTAGTTAAACACAATTCCTTTATGCTGATTGGTATTCCAACCAAAGTTTGTTTGTTTTTGGATAGACGATTTGAATTCACTAGATTCACAGCCAGTTGTTCTGCTTCCTCTAAAAATTCACATACACCTGAATTCCCTGCGTCATGTAGTCGTAAAGCTTTCATTTGGTAGGCATGCAATAAATCAACTGGAGTAAATTTGCCTTCAATCAATTGTTGTTGTAGTGTTTCCAAACTGAGATCTGTAAGTGATAACAATTCAGGGTTCAGTGTTGAAAGGTGTTTTCTCAAATTATCCATTCGTTGGATTAACAGTTGTTGTTTACGTGACAACTTCCTGAGAAGTTCTGACTTTTTCTGATAGTATATTCCAATATATACAATTAGAAATAAAATTCCAAAGGGCAACATTATTATAATTAGTAGTTTGTCAATTATCCACCTTAAGGCAGTCGGAATTGCAAAAATAACGACTTCTGCGCTCTTCAGTTCCATTGTGTAATCTGTAAAATGGCCAAATTAAACAAGAATAAAATGTTAATACCTTTTTAGAATTTTTCTGTTTATAAGCTGTGATATCCTTATTAATCTTTGGTGTAGATGTGAACAAGGCACGCAGACACATATCTCCTATGGATAGCTACAAGCCCCTCACTCTTCGTAACCTATTTTGTTCTAAGCGGAAGTTCGTTTGTAATAATACAGTACAGAATACCTACTCCCCTAGTTGAATACTCATCACAGCCTTATCAATGTACCTAGGTGACTATTGCTAGTAGATACTATAAATCCGTGTACCTCTTGTCACAACGGGGAACCATCCACTCGTACATGAATAAAAGTCTCCTAGCTCTATCACATTGCATTCATTTAACTATGCGTAAATTTAGTCAATACCTCTACTCATCTGTTTTGCAATTAGTTGGCTTTATATTTTTGCTATATTTAGATTGGTGGAATATCTTTAATAGTCACCTGGAATTTTCTTGTCATCGAAAGTCATTTACTATGAGCTAATCTTATCAATTAGTTGTATGTACATAAATAATGAAGTAACCAAGTGATGTACAAGTGTAGCAGGCAACTATTGTCATGCATTTAGTCCCTTGTTTGAAGCAGACTGAATTCTATCGCGGAAGTTTGCAAAGTGGTCACTATGCCAGGTGACTTACCATCACTGTGAATTGTCATCAGATGGTTGGTTCTGAACTGCCGTCTGCACCAAATATAGGATCAAACGCATGAAACTAATTGTTAACTACCCAGTGTTCAATCATAATCTTTAATAAAGTCTCACAGGAAGGAACTCGCTAGTCTGAATAGCCTAGTGGTTAAACCTCTGACTGCTGTACTGATGACAAGGGATTTGAGTCTCAGTGGAGATTTAAGTCCTTTCAAGATTGAAGATACTCTTTGCTGACGAGTATGAACAAGCACGAAACTCACATTCAAGGTTTCGTGTCGATTGTCTCTCACCATCTAATAACAAGTGTACTCACTGTAGTAAAATGTAACCGGAGAATAGATAGACAATGAGAAGAAATTTCATCAACTTCCATTTTATTCTATCACTATAAAGGTTATGAAGAATACATTCAATGAGGCTACTACCACTCCTCTCCATAATAATACATCTCCAACTTGTGCTGAATGCAGTTTCCTTAAAATATAATATATGCGCAAATGCTAACATCGATTTTCAAATGCTTTAAATCATTTAGCTATGCCGCCAAAAATTCATTTAAAATGTTCCATGAATAAATTCATATTCTCTAACAAATGACAGACATAAGAAAGAAGTTCGAACACATTATAAAGTGACATTTTAGACGAAAATTTATGAAAAATAAGGCATTTTAAAGGTGCGACATCCCATTCTAGGGATTGTTTAATAAGCCCCTTCACTTTCACAATATGATTAAAAGCCGCCAAAAATAAACACTTATAACTTCAGCATGTCAAAATTTCAGTTACTGGATTTATTAGATGTACCTGTTAGCCTATGAATAACACCATGAATGACTACTTTAAAAATGTTGTAACCTGCTAAATAGATATGATCAACTGGACAGTATTCAATGTCAAACATCAGTTGGAATCTAGAAAGATGTTTCGCACCTTCTTCAAACTTTTAATCTGGTATCCTGCATCTAAATGACTGTTTACTTTCTTACAAGAAAGTAAGTTAAACAATAGAAAGTCTTCAAATCCCTCCAATTTGTTTTTCAAGACTCTTAGACCAAAAATGAATTGGAATTTAGCACAAATGAGTTGTTAAAAGACCATAAGTCCAAAAAATTTTCACCATATTGCATCAAATATGAAACAACCACATGATGTCAAGATAAGACAAAAATAAAACTTATGTTGTTAGAATTAAGCAAATTTAACAGACTGTTAGCACTAGGCATACCCAAGCTTGCAGTATATTATTGATCGCTTCTTTTCATAAGACTATTTTGAAATGACACATTACAACAAGAGATTTATGACATATTAGATGGCTGAAAGAATATATGATGATATACTACTTTACAAAAAGCGACAGAGAAATACTATATATATATATATATATATATATATATTTTCGGTACAAGTATGGAATATTCAGCGTGGATATCGGTAGCCCAAATTTTGCAGGCCGACCATAGATATCAGGTGTGCGTCGGTGCGGGCTCGAACCCCGGACCATGTGCATGGTTGTCGAGAGTCCTAACCACTATGCCACCGACGCACATCTTTAAGAAACCTCACGTAGAATTTTTAACAAGGCAGGAGCTAATAAACTCAACTGGAAACAAATTATGTAGGTTGAAGGATCCTATGAAGCCCATCAGGCGAAAGGATTCAGCTTATCTAATCATTTTGAGTTGATTGTTTGGTCAAATACATGTGCCAGTTATATAAGAAGAACACAAAAACTGAGAAATTTAGTTTGGTAGACCCTAATAGGGTAAGAACTAATACGGATTTATGCAAAACCACAATCTCCAAGCCTTTACACACCTATTAACAAAAAAATCACATTTTAGTTTTTGAAGTACATTAAACTACCAAGTACTTTTTTAAACTTAATGAATGTGTTGAAAATTTTTTCCTCTAAGACTAGGCCTCTTGCTTACGGAATAGATCAGTATGATACCTTGGTGGTCTGTTTGAAAGTTAGGGTACCTATTCCTCAGCCTAGATATTGCGTCTAATTTATCGTATTTTATTTTTATTTGTCAAAATGTGACTTCAAATCGTATCACATATTCTCGAGAGACCATAAAACTTTTAAAACCAAGTGACTTTCACGGTTTTAAGGAAGCTAATAAAAAAAAATCATAGTGGAAGTCAGCGTGCTGTAAAACGGCCACCTCTATATCGAACTACTGTTCCTGATATCGTTAGTACAAACTGCCGTTCTCTTCCCAATACGATTATGTATTTGCAATCTCTCCTATCATTTGACTCTCATTACAACATGACTATAATGACACTACAAGAAACATGTCTCCATGAGGTCTATGATGACAATCTGGTCTCACTACATGGATTCATATTTATCAGATAAGACAGACCTTGTCCCGAAAAGAAATGCAGAGGAAGACTTGCAACTTTTATTCAAAATCAGTCATCGCGTTCGAACAATGTATGTTTCACATTCTCGAGTGACTTCACTGATTGTATTACTGCCAAAAGTCCTCCCAAACACTTGTCAAAGTGTAAATACATCTTAATATCAAACATTTATGTTACGCCTCGCTGTGCTGTCTCGGATGTATCTGATTTTGCTGGTGAATTCACTATATTTGCTGCTACTCATCTAGAGAACTTAATGTCAAAAGTCACTGGTGATTTCAGTTCCTGCGACTGTTCCTTCCTTGAATCACTTGACCATGTAAACATTGCCACTCGAATTGACAAAAAGTTGAATTTAGTGTTCACAAATGATGTTGGAATATGTAAAGCACACAGACATCCTCCCATAATGAACTCAAATTATTATACTATTCAAGTGTTGCCCAAAGTATGTAACAGGTCACACTCAAGTTTCTTCTCACACCTCTCTAAAAGAACCCAACAAGATAATATACTTAAACTTAGTGACATGTTAAGTGACACTAGCTGGGATCTATTTACTGAGTACATACTGAATGATAAAATCACAAATATTATGGTTTATCTTAAATTCTGCATTGAATCATGCTGCCCCGAACAGGCGCTATTTCAAAGGTTCAACCGTCTCTTTTCTCCTCACCTTAAAAAACTACAAAGAGAAAAGGAGCGGTTGTACAAGTCTAAAGACAAATCTGGCCTAAAATGGATAAACATCCTGATTAAATCAGAAATGCAAACGTTTAACACAATTTATAACCAAAGTCTCTTGTCTTGTAACACTCCCGGAAATATGTGGAAACTTTTCAGTGATATTACGGGTTCTGGTAAGCGATGTATTAATGTCCCCTCTGTTGATATAAATATTCCCAACAAATCCTTCATATGCTCTTCTAGTGATGCTTATGTTTCCAATATGACGGATAAAAACGCCAGTGACTTTCACGGTTTCAACACTTTTGATGTCCTTAAGTGTTTGAAATGTCTAAAATCTTCCTATAGTCTAGGTCATGATGGTTTACCTGCTGTTGTCCTCAGAAGATGTGCTGATATTTTCTGTTATCCATTTACAAACATATTTAATACCTCATTTTCCAGTAATATTGTACATGCTGCTTTGAAAGAAGTTAAAAATATCTCTGTAAACAAATTAGGTTCTGCTAATAATGTTAAATCTAGACCTAATGCAATAACCTCTTCATTTTAATTAACGGAGAAATAACTCTTACTCAACCTTTTACCCTCTTAAAAAAGTTTTAATGATCCCAAACAGTTTGCTTATAGACAGGGTAGAAGTACTTTAGTTGTTGTCGCTGTATTACATCATAACACTGTCTATTACTTAGACAAAGGGGCTAAGTATGTACGTTGTACCTTCCTCAACTACGCATATGCTTTTGACTCAGTACCTAGATGCCTCTTGCTAAATAAGTTTTCTCTTACGCATACTGAGTCCTAAGCTGTTAACTGGCTGCATTCTCATTTCTCAAATACGTGCAGTATACTGTATGTATGTAAGGGTAAATCTTCTTCTGCCTTGCTTACCGAAGCTGGTGTTCCTCAGGGTGCTGTTCTCTCCCCTTTTCTTTTTTCTTTCTTCTCACATGATTTACCTCTTTCTAATGAAATCAACTTCGTCAAATACGCTGATGATCTGGTTGTCTAGCTTCCTGTCGAACATCAGCCAGTGGTCCGAGCTGAATGGTCTTGCGTTAAACCCCTCAAAATACCAAACTATTGAGTTCTCCTTTAGACATAAAAGTGATCTACAATGACTGGCAAATTCACACGATGCTTGTATCATGGAGGGGTGTATAAGAGAAACAAGGTCCAACACAAAATGCATCGGTATAGTTTCATCTTCTGACCTTACTTGGTCATCCTATATTTTATCGATCTCCAA